GAACCGGGGACTCCCGGGTCACAATTTGGTAACCTAACCAACTGACCATCACTGCCCTGTTGATATGTGACAGAATCAGTAATCAACTGATATTTGTGAATACCTGCCTACTTCCTACTACAGACGCACGGATAGATCCTGCATGCGCTTACATACATACGTTCAAACAACCCCAACTGCATACATCTATGGGCATATACGTTCATACAATGATGTGAGTTAATACATACTTTCGTGTATGCATTAGTTACATTTTAAAATTAGGGTTTTTCGTGGTTAATGAGCCACGCAGACCATTTCAAATCTTCTATACTGTCCATACTGTCTTTCTAGTTAATCTATATTTTTCCTCTATGAATTTTAATGATATAAAACAACAGTTCAAGCTAATTTGTCTCGAATTAAATACCATAACAATTGTACTGGATGTTTTTGCTTATTATCATGATCATCGCATCAGGTCTATAGTATTTTCTCTGATCCAACTTATCCTCTACTAGTTGCTCTTTTAAAATACCACTCACACGGAGAAGCGTAGCAGCTTATAGTTTTTGTCCTTCCATAAATATGTATGTGAGAACTCAACGGTTCCTTATTTTAATGTTATGTTATAAGAACCTACTCCGGGCTGTCGCAGCGCAGCGGAGTGAACACATGCGCGGAACGGCAATAGGGTGGCGAGGAAACACTGACAGGCAGGTTCGTGATTCGGGTTTAAAGGTAAGCCTGCAGGGAAAGTAATCAAAAGGCCATGAACCAAAAAGGTACAGTGAGATACAAGCACTCACGATAAAAGATTACTTGCGTGGTTGCCAAGCCCTACAATTGCACATTATTGTGTGCTACTCAGGAGATAGGGCACACCCGTAGTCATGATGATCTATCGTTCTGTCATGGAAACTGGTAACCGGAACACCGGGATTTGGAGTGATGGACTGCACAAGGCCGTCAAATTGTAGCCGACATAATTTTGACCCAGAGTAAAATTTTACTGAACCCGAGTTTGAAAATTGAGTTTTGATATCAGGGCTTTTATTTTCTGTTGTTAGCATTATTTTAGCCATGGTTGTAAGGTTACTCAAGCTGGTTAATGCAATGTGACCCAAGAATATGCCTTAATCGCATTCTAAATGGAGTAATGACTAATTATACACCCGAAGTGTGAGACAGAACGATAGAAGTTTATATTTTTCCTTCACTTGGAACTAGAAAAGTCCAATGGAAACTATTACTACAAGTCAGTTATTATCAATCTGGCCAAATAAATCATGAAAACAGTTCAGTCTAGAAAGTAGATTTTACAGCATCGTCCTATATCAAGAGAAGTTGAAACAGCATTACTACCATTAAAATAAAAACATAAAAAGAGACTTATAATAATGCTGCTGCTATTTATCAATATATGAAATAACTGGTTTCACGCTTCCTTAAACTACTGCACTCATCAGTCCTGAGTGTTTCACTCTTCAGTGATTTCGTTTGATGAAGACGCACCTCTGAGCAGAGGAATTCAATCTTCCTTGGTTGTTGGTGTTTTTATGAAGCCCCTGGTCAACTAGAACCATGTTTGTTTCATCTGGCAGCTATAAAAACCGATCTGAAACGAACGCACAAGCTAGATTACCAAACCATGCTCAATCTGGACGTAGTTGAGAAAATATTATGAACATGTTGAATAGTACATACATTTGATCTGCGGATTGTTATCATCCTGAGTCTGTTTGTATTTCCCAGGTTGAATTCTACTCATGCCATTGTTTTCTCAGAGAAGCGGAGCACAAAATGTTTGCTAATAAAATTGTGGATGAATAGAGTTATACAAGGCGTTAAGAATAAATTAGCGGTTTCTGGAACGCGGTGCTTGGATCACAGTCAATGAGATGGATCAGTACGATATCCTGGGTAGAATTGGAGAAGGTGCTCATGGAATTGTACTCGAGGCCAAACACATTGAAGTTTGTTTTTCATTGGACGTTTGGTTAAGGAATTTAGAGCGGTGAATTAGTCGCGCTGAAGAAAGTCCCGTTGAGGAAATTGGTTGACGGAATACCGAATACTGCCCTGAGGTAAGTTGAGCTAACCATTTTCACCTCTTCAATCTTCCTGAAAAGGGAAATCAAGGCTTTACAGTTTATTGGATCCAGCCCATATGTGGTACGACTGCGTGAAGTGTTCCCACACGGGACTGGTTTTGTACTTGTGTTTGATTACATGCTTACCGATTTGAGTGAGGTGATTCGTAACTCGGATTGTCCATTGACTGCCTCGCACATCAAAAGTTATATGATCATGCTTTTGTCTGGGGTCGAAGTCATGCATCAAAATGGGATCATGCATCGTGTAAGCACTGAGCATTCGAATACACGTGGCCTAACAAAGTGCTTTATCCTAGGATTTGAAGCCGGCCAATTTGCTGATCAGTTCTAACGGACTACTTAAAATAGCCGACTTTGGTCTAGCACGCGTATTCCACGAACCAACTAACAAACGTCTGTACAGTCATCAAGTGGCAACTCGGTAACTGGTGGTGAATTTGTTCATGACAATGTTTATTTTCATTTAATACGCAGATGGTACCGAGCACCAGAGTTGTTATATGGAGCCAGGAAGTATACTAACAGTGTGGACTTGTGGTATGTTGTGACAGAAATTGGTAATGAGAGAAAACATCT